TTAAGGAAAATGTTCCTCCAGTATCGGTGCTTCGTAAGAGTTAGAGGTAAAGCTGTAACTTTTACGTCGTCGTCAGGACCGAGACGAGTGTCTTATTAAAGTCTAGAGAGAAGGGAAAAAAGAGAGGAAGGAAAGACTCACTCATGCTACGGCTGCTATAGCATAAGTGAGAACAGGAACGAATTTATAAATGTGACTATAAATGGATAAAACGTATGCATGTCGTTATTTGATAAAGAATCGTTGTAATGATTCTCAGATTCCTGTGGTGTAAGAGGAAGAAAACACTTCAAAAATCAACGTCGGGTTTCATCACACAAGACCTCTGACTAAAATAAAAAAAAATGTAAGAGAAAACGAAATAATAACCCGTTAGACCTTTTTCATCACGTTGACTCTACAGCACGCACATCCAGGACACATAATCCAGGGTCCTCCTTTATGCACCGTACACACACTTTACTCATCATTTCTCCACGCTGAACCATTTATCGGCGAAAACACTGCCGTGTACCATGATGTGCCTGTTTCCTAAACTCCTCCACAGAGGCAGCTGTGGAACCATAATTGATTTTCCCTCAGGATGCCATTACATAAACTCTAAATATAACTGCCATTCAGTTCAAACGGCGCCTCCGCGGTTACGGACGTTCACACGTGTTCGCTCGAACGAAAGAAAATGAAGATCTGATGCACTGAAAAGTTGTCGAGCAAAACCCCCAGGGCAGTTATACATTTAAAATACAACTAAAAAGTACTTCCTTCTCAGTCACTTCCATCTGTGTTCACACTTCACAGGAAGTAGGACTGTCACTTTCACCTGCATGTTCCGAATATAGCGCAACGCTAGAACAAACTTTTGGGCTCTTTTTCCTACTTTTATTCTTTTCATGGACTTTTTTTTTCTTTTTTCTTTTTTTTTAATCCATACCCGCCGTCCATTTTCTTCTTATTTAAGAAATCTATTAATCTCCCAGTCCTTCATGTGAGTTCATATAAACTCTCCATGGGTTCACCAAACCCTAATGGAGTTCATTTAATACTACTTTGGTCCTAGACTGTGCTTTCTGGAAAATTGAGGTTGAGGGAAAATTAACCTTTTTTTTTGATGCTGGGAAAAATGAACCAATCAGAACACGGATTATGCAGCTAGCATTTTTCTGAATGACTTTTATCTATCTGGCAGATATTTTTATCCAAACTGACTTATAGTTAAGGCAGAACACCATCTATATAATTAAGAGGCACTATAGGGGCTTGTTTGAGGGCTGGACGAAAGCCCTGGGATTTGAACCAACAACCTTCCAGAAGCAGTGTAATCTGTGTTAGATCCATGAATAAGCGTACATTAATACTGAACTAATGCTTTCATAATTAATTGACATAATGAATGATGTGGAAATGCAAAATGTATACACGAATAAGAGCTGCACTTTTATTATTTTTTTTACAGTGTGTCCCAACGGTTGCACCTAGCGATCAAAATTACCTGTCCTCTCTGGGTAGGCGGGGCTTACTCTTTCTCCCCTGTCAATCACAGCGAAACTGGCTGACCAGCTGCATCTATGAGCTCATGTATGAGGAAGAGGGCAGATAGCACTTTTGTCTGTCACTGGCCTGTGCAAAAAGATACGTTTGATTGGATTCATGAGTCATAGGATCTGTTCCCACCTGGCCTTGGACCACTTGTGATCAGATTTCATACATCATTTCTGTTCAAGGAAGGGTGTCGCACATATTTATTACATCAGTCTTCTTCTGTATTTGTTTTCAGGCGGAAATCACCTGCAAATCCTATCTCATGTGCCTGTTCAAGCAGCTTCGAAATGTTTCGATTTTGGGATGTGCTAAAGAAACGATGATATGATGGAAGAAGCGATGAAAAGTCTTTCATATCTGCGGAACTCTTCCGTTCAGTGCGATTTCCAAACAGTTCCGCAGTGATTGCTTCTTTTCCGGCTAAGGCAATGACACAATCGATTAGGTGCTGTCTGAGACCACCTCAGAATGTGGTGTGAGTGATCGGATCACAAAGTGATGCACATTGGACCGCGTTTATACTTGTACTTAGCGCTGTCCACTTACAGATAGATACTACCATCCATCCATCCATCCATCTTCTATACCGCTTATCCTTTTCAGGGTCACGGAAAAGCCTATCTCACAGGGAACCTATCCCAGGGAGCATGGGGCACAAGGTGGGGTACAGACTGGACAGGGTGCCAGTCCATCGCAGGGCACAATCACATACACACTCACACACCCATTTATACACTACGGACACTTTAGACACGCCAATCAGCCTACCATACATGTCTTTGGACTGGGGGAGGAAACCGGAGTACCCGGAGGAAACCCCCACAGCATGCAAACTCCACACACACAGGGCCACGGTGGGAATCGAAGTCCTGACCCTGGAGGTGTGAGGCGAATGCGCAAACCATTAAGCCACCGTATACATGTTAGTCTTCATGCTAGAGCTTGTAGAGTTGGTGGGAATTTACAGGTGACTAATTTGGGGTGAAAATTAAAATTCAATTCAATTCAATTTTATTTGTAGAGCGCTTTTAACGACATTGTGGACATGGTGTCTCAAAGCAGCTTTACAGAAACATATAAACACAGGATAGAGAATTTAAGTGTGTGAATTTATCTCTATTGAGCGAGCCGGTGGCGACGGTGGTGAGGAAAAACTCCCTGAGATGATATGAGGAAGAAACGTTGAGAGGAACCAGACTCGGAAGGGAACCCGAGCGTTTTGCACGCTCTTTCACAGTGATGTTTGTTTGTAAGTGAAACCTTTGCACTGTACTCATGTTCGACACACATGAATCGAACAAGGCCTTGGCTGAATGCACGCCGTGATGACGTCGCATGCCTCGTCTCGGCCCAAATCTGCAGAAAACCTGCGGTAATTAAAAAAAAATTGCAAGCTCGTGCGAAGTTTGCGTTCATTTTCTATAAAGCTCAAAGAAGGGTAAGAATGAGAGTATGCCTTTAACAGAAATAAGCTACAGTAATTAAAAAATGTAATGCACAAGCCAAAACGTCTAAGTAATCCGTAAAACTTCGGAAACTTTCCCAACTCTTCCGAAGAGCCTCGGATCCGAGCAGCTCTGTTTTCCAGCGCGATAATGAACAGCTGCATAATGAAATAGTTTCATCGTTCACAATTAAGACATGGAGAGATGTTGCTAATGCAGCTTGTCTGAATGCATAATACATCAGATGAGCTTTTATTGCCTCTTTATTGCCCTGATCGTGAGGTATCAGTGGCTGCATGTGAAACAAATGAATCATTTATGCTGCAGCAGGATTCTTTTTTACGCCGGGATTATTCTGTTTAGTCAAATAAAAATAAAGAAATAATTGAAAGAAAGAAAGAGGAAGCTGGGATCGAAGTGACAGCTACGTGTGACAGATCTCAAACGTAATACAATTTCAGTACTCTTGGAGTCGTGGTGTTTCCCGTAATGGAAAGCAACGTATCGTGTGACTTTAATGTCTCAGTTATAGCTCGTAAGAATAAAATGATGAGAAATCATAACAGCATGGATTATTATCACGGTGTTATTCGTCGAACGCCTGAACACACAGTACTACTGCATACAATACACTACAGTACATATTAAATATAATTGTATAACTTCAAGGATTGAAAGATTGAATGCATCATGGTCAGTGGATTCACACCTACTTCTGCCCTCGGTTGCAGTTTTAGCATGCAATTCAAATTAGCCGCCATTTTGTGTCGTTCAAGAGGCTTCTTCTGTTCCTGATGTGATGAAGCTTAGTTTTATCAATCCCAGGGAGCATCGGGCACAAGGCGGGGTACACCCTGGACAGGGCGGCAATCCATCGCAGGGCACAATCACATGCGCATTTGGACACGCCAATCAGCCTACCATGCATGTCTATGGACTGGTGGAGGAAACCGGAGTACCCGGAGGAAACCCTCACAGCACGGAGAGAGCATGCAAACTCTGCACACACAGGGCAGCGATATCGGACTGTTTTCTGTCATCCCCATCATTTAGGAAAACCCCGTTTGCACCGTTTGGCACTTTTTACTTTTTGGGAATCAATAACCATCTTTTGCACTAGCATGCTACGTGCAGCTGTGCCATCATTTCACAATTGTCAAGAACTGATTCAAAGCTTGGCTAGCTTTCACAATAAGAATGCACTCCAGCACTTTCACACTGAGTGAGCGGTCATGTGAACTCTACAGGTGCTCATTTAACACTAATTTGTTCCCGCAGACTTCCTTTTGCCCCGCATGAGAAATGAGCGAATACTGAGTGGAATACTCCTGCACGAGGCTCATTCCAGCTCTACAGGAGTTCATCTGACACTTGTCTAATCCGCTGACTTTCTTTGGTCGCTAGCCGGGGTATCAATTACAAGCATCCCATAATAATGCCAGCAGATGAACTCATATGGGCTCTAGATGAGTTTTGTTTTTTAACACTAATTAATTAGCGCTTACTTCACTGACTAGACCTGCGTTCCTATTAATAATGTTCTTCCTGGGATATGCGGCGATTTAAGTAGGAAATTAAATAGTGTCAACGCCTTCTGACCAATCAGAGTCCAGAATGGAACCGTGCTGTAGTGTAACAGGAAATGTCCATCACATTGTGGACAGTTTCCTTTGGGAGATATTTATACTAATCCAAACATGCTAACTGGTTCCTAGTATTTCTCAATCACAGTTAGCCATGTGGTTTGTAATCATATTTTGGTGTCTATTTACTGAGAGAACTCCTAAATCCAGCATTTTTTGGGTAGTGAACAGTTTGGTAGATAGACTAATCTTATATGTATGGAAAAAAACTTATGCTAAGTAGTATATGGTCTATACGGTGCAAACGGTTTCCTCGTCTATTCTGAAAGACTAGAAATGTTCATTTCCAGATAATGGGATTAACTGAATAGAAAATGTCTCTCTGAGTACATTTAAATTGTGTGCGCTAATAATAATTTTTTTAAACAATATACACGTTTAGGGTGCACGGTGGTTAGCACGTGCGCCTCACACCTTCAGGGTTGTGGGTTCGATTCCCACCGTGGCCCTGTGTGTGTGTGTGGGTGTGTGGAGTTCGCATGTTCTCCCCGTGCTGCGGCGGTTTCCTCCGGGTACTCCGGTTTCCTCCCCCAGTCATATGCATGGTAGGCTGATTGGCGTGTCTAAAGTGCCCGTAGTGTATGAATGGGTGTGTGAGTGTGTATGTGATTGTGCCCAGCGATGGACTGGCACCCTGTCCAGGGTGTACCCCGCCTTGTCCCCGATGTTCCCTGGGATAGGCTCCAGATTCCCCTTGACCCTGAAAAGGAGTAAGCGGTATAGAAGATGGATGGACATGCAAGTTCAAATAATTAAAGTAAATCCTGGACATATAGGAACAGTATCATTAGTGTATGGATACCATTTTATTTCCTAATAAAATAAATCTAGAATAATGTGCCTCGTCAGATGACATGTTCTTGAAGCGGTGTCTTTGGTAATAGAAAATGAATTGTTACATCCTTTGAGAAACTCCATATTTTTGCATGCTACAAGGCTATTTTTGCAGCTAACTAGCCTAACTAGCGCTCTAGATTTATTACTCACAGTCATACAGATGAAATAAAGATTCCAGACCAGGTGTAACTCCGGTCATGAGGATCATTAGATTTTCCATTCCATCATAAATCTCCTTATTTTTGGTCTCTAAACAATATGTTTTTCATCTAGCAGGCTGTCCTCCAATTGGTCAGTAGATAATGTAAAAAAATACAATAAAAACAACATTACATGCAGTTTGTCTGGAAATTATAATTACTATTTTATTGAAATAGAATATAAATGTATTAGAATGAGCACATTAATATCAACCAGCTGCACTACTGAGAGCCACTGTCATAGAAAATGAATGATCATCTTCTGTCCAATCAGAATCCAGAATTCAAGAGTGCTGTGGTATAAAGATGTTAAAAGCCCCTACACCATGTTTAATAAATCACGAATCAGTATTTAACGTGAATAAAAGGGGTAGTGATGGTGAAAACCTTGAATATGAAACATGACTATTGAAATCATCCTTTAATATTTGTATTATGCTAACAAAGGTTTTTGAAGAAAAAATAAATCTCAGTGTTTCTGCAGTACTGAAGATCGAGCGAGTCGGTCACTTCCACACTGCTCTCTTAATGAAATACACCATACGTATACACAAATCCTGGAGCTATTTCAGTTTCCGTTCTCAGTGGAGCAAGACAAGCAAAGGAAGCATGCATGAGATGACATGGTGCACCCAAAGGCAAAAACCAAAAAGGCTTCATAATGGAGTTGGGGGGGTGGGGGGGTAGGAGAAATGAGTGAGCAGATGATTGAGTCCCCAAACCATATATATATATACACTCCATATGCTTTCAAGGTGCTCAGTGGATTGCAGACAGAAGATGCTCTCCAACAAGTGCAGCTCATTGAGCCTGAATCCGATCAGCTATTCTGGGACTCCCCAAGCTTCAAGCTTCTCATTAGAGCCGTTTTTATTTTCAGAAACCTTTGACTGATGACTCAGGGTAACAAGAGCTGGAGGGAAAAGATGAGTGCCAAAAAAAGGGCAATGCGGTTACATCACAGGGTTGGGAGGGAATAACCTGGCGTGCTCTTTTGTGCTAAAAAAAAAAAAACCTCAAAAAATACCACAGGATTCAAAATGTCAACGATAATTGGATACAAATACTGGTATTGAATAAGTTAACAACCAAATGTTGAATTAAACTGATCCGTAGATAATGTTGTGAGATGGTTATAAGTTTTTCAGTTTAACTTCCAGGACTCACCATGAACCACTAATGAAGCTTAAAACTAAATCCTTAACCCTTAACTACTCAGCTAGAGCTTATCTCAATTTTCCAATGGATGATACAGCAAAGCTCATTATGCTCCATTTTGAAATATATCTATACTTGGGGGGCGCACGGTGGCTTAGTGGTTAGCACCTTCGCCTGTTCGCCTCACACCGCCAGGATTGGGGTTTGATTCCCACAGCCCTGTGTGTGTGGAGTTTGCATGTTTTACCCGTGCTGCGGGGGTTTCCTCCGGGTACAACGGTTTCCTCCCCAAAGACATGCATGGTAGGCTGATTGGCGTGTCTAAATTGTCCGTAGTGTATGAATGGGTGTGTGAGTGTGTATGTGATTGTGCCCTGCTATGGATTGGCACCCTGTCCAGGGTGTACCCCGCTCCAGGTTCCCCGTGACCCTGAAAAGGAGTAAGCGGTTGAAGATGGATGGATAGATGGATGGATCTATATTTGGGAATGCAGATAATGCATGCTTACAAAGTCACTAGATGATGTTATAAACTTATTTGCATTTTTTTTTGCCTTTATTTATTCATTTTCATATGATTCATCTACATGTGATTCATTTACATATGATTCATTTTCATGTGATTCATATTCATGCATGTGATTCATTTACATATAATTCATTTTCATGTGATTCATATTCATGTGATTCATTTACCTTTTCTCCCCTCCCTTCCCCAAATATTTCATTGAGAAAAAAAATAAAAATAAAATAATAATAATAATAATAATAATAATAATAATAATAAATTAATTAATTAAAAAAAAAATTCCCCCCGCTTACCCCGGCTCATCATGGCTACTCAATAGCTGTCGCTGGTTATATAAAAATTATAAAATCCAAGAACTAAAGTAAAAATAAGAATATAAATAGCCAATTGGAGCTGAAGAGGGACACACACCCAAAGTCTCCATAAAACAAAGGAGACAGCAGTGTATCACCCCTAGGGTTGTCCACAAAGTGGACCTAGAGTAAGCTAAAAATAAATTACTAAAAAAAAAAAAAGAAAATTCCAGTAAGAAAAAAGTCCCCTGCTGACTTCAAATCTAATAAATAGTCTGCGCACTTTAACAAATATAATGTCCGTACCTTTTAAAGACTTATAACTAATAATATTACAAAGTGTAGCATATTAAAATAAAATACAAGAAGAGAATAACGAAGTAATATTGCACCGACAATATAAGAATTCAAATTATGTAGAGCTGGAAGGCCGAGTGCAAAAAAAAGAATAAAGAATAAAAGAAAAAAATATATAGCGAAAGAAGTAAAGAAAGAACAACAAAAAAACAACAACAATAATAATAATAATAATAACAATAATAGCTAAAATACATAAATAGATAAACAGACAAACAAACACTACACTGTGTAGATGATGCAGTTCAGCCCGGTTTTAAGAGTTTAACAGCAGCGATTGTACAGGTGTCAGGGCCCTCTGGAACGTTATTGCGCCGTGACCTCGACTCCAGATCCTCACATTTATTCTCTAATTGAGTCACGGTCGCAGTGAGAGACTCGATAGTAGTCTTTATGTGAACGGTTTAACCGGAGAGCGCGTGCTCCATCTCCCCAATGGTACCTTTAAGTGTTGATATGGTGGCCTCGGTAGCAACTTTATCGCTATCTTATTTGCATATTTGTTGAAGCGTCATTATTCTTGCATAGTAAAACATGTTAAATGAGGATGGAAGATTTTCAGATTTTCTTAAAATGTAATAAAATATACCTTTATCCGATTATTCATATAGACTGAAGTTGTCCTGGGTCACAGCACGACAAAGGGGCTGTTTATGTATTCACAAAACCCCTCCTTCAAAAAAAAAAAAAAATATTAATTAGTAAAAAAAAATATTGCTTTTTTAAAAATAAATAAAAAAAAAAATTTAAAAAAAAAAAAAAAAATTATTTAAGGGTAAAAAAAAAAAAAATTTTTTTAAATAAAAAAAAAAAATTTTTTAAGGAAGCAATAGTGGAACAATTGCTAGTGGGTTGGGGAACAATAGTTAGTGATCAGTGATCGGGCATTGGGAATAATAGTTAGTGATCAGTGATCGGCATTGGGAACAATAGTGATCAATGATCAGGCATTGGGAACAATAGTTAGTGATCAGTGATTGGGCATTGGGAACAATAGTTAGTGATCAATGATCAGGCATTGGGAACATTTTTTTTTTTTTTTTTTTTTTTTTTTTTTTTTTTTTTTTTTTTTTTTTTTTTTATATTTTTTTTTTTTTTTTGTAAGTTATTGAGTTAAATAGCTATCAGTGATTGGTCATTGGGAACAATAGTGATCAATGATCAGGCATTGGGAACAATAGTGATCAATGATCGGGCATTGGGAACAATAGTGATCAGTGATTGATTATTGGAAACAACAGTTATTGGTCATTGGGAACAATAGCTATCAGTGATTGGTCATTGGGAACAATAGTGATCAATGATCAGGCATTGGGAACAATAGTTATCTGTGATTGGTTACTGGGAACAATAGTGATCAGTGATTGGTCATTGGGAACAACATTGATTGGTCATTTGGAACAGTAGTGATCAGTGATTGGTCATTGAGATCAGTAGTGATCAGTGATTGGTCATTGGGATCAGTAGTGATCAGTGATTGGTCATTGGGAACAATGGTGGATACAACTTAAGCTCGGGCACAACACAATGCACCCCACAGTTCCCTCTGTGTAAATGTCGAACAACATTTGATATTCTGCCACAAGAAAATGCACCACTGTGTTGTTGGAATTTAACATCAATTGCTAAAGTTTGTTCTCAAACCTGTTTGTTTAGATACACTACTCCAACGTATTCCTGTAAGAAGATGTGCTGCAGTTCTTAACATATTTTTAATAATTAAATATTTCATATAATTAAAACAGCCATAGTTTTTTGAAATGTTTTATTTATTTTGATTAACATCGTCTCAATTTTAAATGTCTCGGTTAATAAATATATTAAGTCAAACTATTTAACAATCATGCGAACATACCTTTTCTCCCAACAATTTTCTCGCTCTTCTTCCTGCTAATCTTTTTCCTCGTGTGTTAGAAAAGGAATGGAACACATTATTATTAATAAATCAGACGACACGTGACCCAGACTCGCTCCGGGCTTTTATTCTCTCATTTTACTGCACTCTCTTATTGACGATGACACTGTGCCGATGCCCTCAGAGCACAAAATAATCAACATACTTCAACCATGAT